TCCGGAACAACAGGCAGAGAAGACTCCGGAGGGGATGGCAGAGGAGCACGCTGCGGAGGAGAGGAAGGACGATGGACTACAAGAGAAGGACCGGGGATAGCCGGCGGACGCTGACGAGGAACACGACGACTGGACCGACCAGAACGGACAGGTGAGACAGGACGCGACGCAGGCTCACGACGCTCAGTAAAGCCCCCTGTCTGCTCAGCGTAAGGAGAAGGAGCAGGCAGAGGTGAGCCAGGCTGTAACGGAAGACCAGTAGACGACGGGAGGCTAAGAACCCGGCGAAGTACGGAGTCAGGCGGTGGCAGAGACGACGGAGACGGTGGAGCAAAGAACAGGCGCGGCTGTGCAGTGCCACCAGCACCAGCAGCTCCAGCACCCTCAGCAGCTCCAGCACCCGCAGCAGCTCCAGCGCCTCCAGCAGCTCCAGCACCCTCAGCAGCTCCAGCACCCTCAGCAGCTCCAGCACCTCCAGCAGCTCCAGCACCTCCTGCAGCTCCAGTACCCTCAGCAGCTGCAGTACCTCCAGCAACTCCAGCACCCTCAGCAGCTCCAGCACCCTCAGCAGCTCCAGCACCTCCAGCAGCTCCAGTACCCTCAGCAGCACCCCCAGAACCTGCACCTCCAGTCCCAGGGTCTCCAGCAGTAGCACCCTCAGGCTCAGCAGTACCTCCAGCCCCAGCAGCTCCAGCACCTCCAGTGCGAGCACCTCCGGGACCAGCACCACTCCCAGCTCCAGTGGCGTCAGCAGAAGTTCCTCCAGCGGCAGAGCCCCGAGCTCCAGAAGCACGACCCTGACGGCGACCGTACCAGTCGTGCAGCTGCTGTGAGGTGAGAGGCACACGCGTACGAAGGCGGCTACTCCAAGGAGACCGCGCAGGAGCAGACTCAGAACCCTCAGGCGTCGCACCCCCAGACTCAGCACCCCCAGGCTCAGGACCTCCAGGCTCCTCACGCTCAGGCTCAGCACCCCGAGACTCCGCACCCCCCGGCTCAGCACCCTCAAGCTCCGCACCCCCAGGCTCAGCACCCCCAAGCTCCGCACCTCTAGGCTCAGCACCCCCAAGCTCCGCACCCCCAGGCTCAGCACCCCCAAAGACAGCACCACCCCCAGTAGGACCTGAGTCACCAGTGACCTCAACAGGCGCAGGCACGGGAGGGTCTACCTGAGAAACACCTGAAGGAGCAGGACCTGGCGCGGGGAGGGGGTCTACCTGGGGAGGACCTGGGGCGAGAAAGAGCGGCGGGGGGGGGCGAGGGGCAGTGCGGTAGGGAAAGAGACGGTAAAAGGGGACGGACTCGTCAAAGGTGACGTCCTGAGACGGAAAGACACGGCGCGAGGCTGGGGCGTAAAACTGCCAGCCAGGCGCGTCAGGGACAAAGCCAAGGAAGACGCAGGGAATGGCGCGAGCGGAGAGTTTGTCCGCGGTGGTATCGCGGACAAAGGCACGAGCACCCCAGACCCGGAAACGCGACGCATCGCCAACCTTCCCCGTCCACAGCAGTGTGGGCGAGGTCTCCGGCAAGGAGACACGGGGCCAGAGGTTGAGCTGATGCGCGGCGTACCGGACCGCAAACGGCCACAGAAAATGGGGGGCAGCCGCATGGATCATGGAGGTACGAGCGACCTCCATGACTAAGCCAATGCGGCGCTCAGCAACCCCATTCTGCTGCGGAGAGGCCGGAAGCGTGAACGTCTGGTGGATGCCTTGCTCCGCACAGAAGGATGCCAAGAGGTCTGAGGAGAACTCACCACCTCTGTCAGAGTGCAGACGAAGGACAAGAAAGTCCGACTGGAACCGCTCGCGGAGCTGGAGACGAACAGCGCGGATCCAGGGGATCAAAACATCAGGGACCTCCCCCTTGCTGCGCAAGGGGAAGACCGTGGTGTAACGCGTGTAGTCGTCGACGACCAGCAGGAAGTACTGCTCGTGGCCCTGTCCACGGACGCGGGCGGGGCCCCACACGTCCATGTGGAGAGTCTGCAGGGGAGCCTCTGTGGGAGGAAACGAGGAGGAGTGAGGAGCAGCGCGCTGCCGCCCCTCGACGCAAGGAATGCAGGGCGGCGCAGGCGAGGGAGGGAGGGCAGGCAGAGACTCAGGAAGGCCAGAGACCAGGTAGCGAGAGTGCATGCTACGAAGGCGAGGCAGGGAGGGGTGACCAAGGCGGTGGTGCCACAGGAGAGTGTCGTGCGACAGGCGGCGACACTCACACTGGGTAGCTACCTGAGAAGACGCGTACAGCTGGGGGGACAAAGGTGTGTAGCGTGACGCAGTGGTGAGGGTGTACAGACTAGACCCAGGCGCACGTGTGAACGTGGCCAGGTGACGGCCGGTCCTGGAGCACGTGCAGATCGCCACACGCTGTCCTCCAGGAGTAAAGGTGTCAACCCAGTGATCCTGAAGGACGGCGTTGCTCACCAAGTTCGTAGAGAACGAGGGGAGGTGGAGACCAGACAGCTCACCAGACGGGACCGCTGGACACGGAAGCACAGTGGAAGACCGTGCAAGTACTGGGCCCCCAGAGGGGTCAGCCAGTGAGACAGGAACAGGTGCAGGGAGGGGAGTGACTGTGGTGCTGTCGCGAAAGAAACAGCGGGAAGCACCAGAGTCAAGTGTGAAGGTGTGCAAGGCCTGTGCGGACGCAGTACCAGGGGGGGCAGACTCACAAGCACCTAGTGCCACAGGCGCTATACCTGTGGCTATACCTGGGTCAGGCGGCACACACAAGTAGCAATCACCCTCAGCACTAATAGTCAATGCATACATGGCAGCAAGAATAGCCTCATAGTCAAGATCAAAGATAGGTACATCACGCCTAAGCAGGTCTGCCCAGTTGGGGAACTCAGTAGCATCAGGAAACTTGGCGCGCCAGGCGTCGCTAAGCCGAGCGAAGCAGCGCTGCTCAGTGTGAAACCCTGTGCACTGGCGACCAGTGCGGGGACCTGTGCGAATGATATAGGGGCAGCGACCAGGACCCCCAGAAGCCCCACGCCCGGCATACCAGTCAAGAAGCTGCTGGGAAGTGGGGGTCTGGCGCTGACGCTGCTGCTGCTGCTGCTGCGACTGCTGCTGGCCCTGACCACCACTGCCACCACCGCTCCCTCCTCCCCCACCGCCGCTGCTGCCACCTCCACCTCTCCCAGTGCCTCCGCTGCCCCCACCACCACCTCCACCACCTCCACCCCCACGACCTCCTCCACCACCTCCACCTCCCCCGCCGCCACCTCCACCGCCACCTCCACCGCCACCCCCACCTCCCCTGCCACCCTTGCCGCCCCTGCCACTGCGACGCTTCCCACTAGGAGCGGAAGCAGCCCCGACCTCCTCAGCACCAAGGTAGTCGTGAGCAGCAGCTGCGGAGGCGTAGGAGGGGGTGAGAGGGGAGGGGGAGCACCCCTCAAAGAGGGGAGAGCGAGGAGTGCCACGAGCAGCACCTACAGCGAGGATGTTCTTCTCTGCTGCAAGGAGGTGCTTCTCGAAGTCGTGGACAGTGAGAGTGGGGGGGTCTAGCGCTAGGAAGTGGTCCCTGACGGAGCTAAGAGTGTCAGGGAGACGGGTGACGAGGAAATAGAGAGTGAAGTACATCGGGGGGGGGGTTGGCGGCGCAGAACTCGGCTGAAAGGGCGGCACGAAAGCGAGTGTCATTAGCGCGCAGGTGGGAAATGAGGTCGTCAGCAGTGGTGAACGAGGAGAGGTCGGGGAACAGGTAGGGTAGCATGAGTCGACCTATGGCTGCAGTGGCCGGGGAGGAGTAGCGCGCAACTACAGCGTCGTACAGCGTCTTAGCAGTTTTGTGCTGGCTGAAATGCGCGCGCTCAGTAATCGGCAGATGGTTCCTAATAGCTAGGCGCGCAGCAGCATCGCGAGTCTGCCACTGCGAGCGCTCGAGAGCAGGAGCATCGGCAGCAGGAGCAACGGCAGTGCCAGACACGTAATCGAACAGTGAAACGCCCTCTTTGGCATCGGTCAGAAGGAACAGTTGGAGATCGTCGAGCCACACAGTGAACTCTATGGGGCGACCGTCAGGCTCGAACGCGAGAACATTAGGCGTCGTCATAACGGCAACAGGCAAAGGCAGTAAGCAGCAGGCAGCAGACAGGAGGCAGCAGGCAGTAGGCAGTAGGCAGTAGGTAGCAGGCAAGGCAGTAGCTGGCCGCACGCGAGCTCCTAAGGCGGCGCGCTAGGCAGCTGCAGGCCGCGCGCACTCCTAAGGCAGCGGGGTCGGCAGCAGCGGGCCGCGCAGGCGGCCGACGCGACTCGCAGGACAGCAGCGAGCTGCGCGGGCGGCGGACTCGGCGCGCGGCTCAGTAGCGGGCCGCGCTGGCGACAGAAGCGGCGCGCGTGGCCTAAGCGGGCCGCACACGGCGGCGGGCTACGCGGGCTTGACGCGGACTGCGCGAGCGGGCCGGCGCGCGGCGCTGCAGCGGGCTACGGAGTGGCCGAGGCGCGCGCGGGTTCCTAAGGCGACTGCAGTAGTGACGCGCGCGAAAAAAAAAGGTGACGCGCGCAAGCAGCCGAGGCGCGCGCGGGCAGCAGGCAGGGCAGGCAGGCAGGCAGTGAGGCTGTAGGTGAGGTAACTCAGTTACAGGTGGGCCCGATCCTTAGGTCCTAGAGACCTTAGTGCTCTAGATGCCATGTCGAGACTTCGGCAGGGATGAAATTGGACTATCGAGAGTTTGGTACAAAAAGTATAACCTAAGGGGTTGTACCCCACAGTGAGTACCCCACTAAAGCCTACCCAAACTACAACATATAACTATATGTTTGACACCAACCTCCTCGCCTCGCCCCCATCGAGTTCCCCCCTCCCGCATCACTGTTTTTCCCGCCAATCTGGAGTGGAAACTGCAACCATGATTTCAATTCTCCAATCCAACCCTGACAGCTCAGAGCATTTCTTTTGTGAACAACACTGAGCACCAGGCCAAAGCTTTTTTAAAAGTTCAAATCAGAGTCATACCGTAAGCTACCGTACCGGTAGCTTACTTCACATATTTAATTCAAGAGAGCAGCAGGTGCAGCAAGGCGGCCGTTGGTGGCCCTCAAGGCGAGGATGAGGCGGGTGTGGTGCGAGGCCAGCGAGCCCACAAAGTAGTCCGACTCCGCCGCTATCAGCACACTCGCCAGCTGCGACCCCACCTCGCCTGCCATGCTGGCAGCCTCTGATTGGCCGTGGTCGTCATGCTGGGAGTAGAGGAAGGTCCAGTCGTCAAAGGCTGCCAAGTGGGCCTGCATGGTCTGAGGGGCCCGCAGCAGGGCAGGCGGGAGAAGAGAAGAGAGGGGAAGGGGGGTGGGGGTGGGGGCAGGGCAGCAGGTCAGGGCGTGTGATGAAACAATCGCACGGAAGGTTGGGCAGGAATGCATGTGCAGCATTTGGACCTGGCCTCCTTGCACCACACGCCCCCATGCCTCCTTGCACCACACGCCCCCATGCCTCCTTGCACCACACGCCCCCATGCCTCCTTGCACCACACGCCCCCATGCCTCCTTGCACCACACACCCCCATGCCTCCTTGCACCACACGCCCCCATGCCTCCTTGCACCACATGCCCCCATGCCTCCTTGCACCACATGCCCCCATGCCTCGTTGCACCACACGCCCCCATGCCTCCTTGCACCACACGCCCCCATGCCTCCTTGCACCACATGCATCGATGCTCCAGCGCACCTGGGAGGGAGGGGCGGTGAGCCACACGTGGTGGAGGTCGGGGTCGTGCTGCCTCAGGCTGTACGCGTGGAACACACCCGCCACCACCGCCATCTGCTCCCTCTTCCCAAGCTTCTCCATCTCCACCTCCCGCGCACTCCTCCCCCCCTCCTCATTCCCTTGTTCCTCCTCATTACCCCCCCGCTCATCCCCGTTCGACCGCTGCACGTGTGGCATCTCTGCTCGTCGCCGTCTGCCAGCATGCCCTGTGCTCCCCACGTGCAAGGCAACGATGGGGCGCAGCACATACGCCTCGCGCCCCGCCCCTAAGTAGTCCGCCAGGGGGGTGCCCCGCGTCGCCATCACATTGCCGCGCCCGCGCGCCACGCACCCCTGGAAGCCCAGCCCCGGCCACACCTGCGCCTCCGCCGTGTGGGCCCCGGAGAAGTTCAACGCTGCCAGCTCGCGCCCCTCCTGCTGCTGACTGAGTGGTGCCGCAGAGATAGGCGGCAGCAGCAGCGAGGAGAGGATGGCGTCCCCCTCCGCGTGGTGCGTGGCCATGCCGCGCATGCCGTAGGCGCGGTGGCGGTTGAGCAGATGGCAGAGGTAGGGCGAGGGCCAGCGCAGCATGAAGCGCAGCGCCTGTGCCCGCCACCACTGCACCTGCAGAGAAGGGGAGGAGCAGGGGGGAGGGGGAAGCGAAGAGGGGGAGGGACGAAGGTGGCATGGTGGCATGGTGACATGGTGGCATGGTGGCATGGTGGCATGGTGGGATGGTGGCATGGTGGGATGGTGGCATGGTTGCATGGTGGCATGGTGGGACGTGGGATGGTGACATGGTGGCATGGTGGCATGGTGGCATGGTGGCATGGTGGGATGGTGGGATGGTGGCATGGTGGCATGGTGGCATGGTGGCATGGTGGCATGGTGGCATGGTGGCATGGTGGCATGGTGGCATGGTGGCATGGTGGCAAGGTGGCATGGAGGGATGGTGGCATGGTGGGATGGTGGCATGGTGGGATGGTGGCATGGTGGGATGGTGGGATAGTGGCATGGTGCCATGGTGGGATGGTGGGATGGTGGCATGGTGGCATGGTGGGATGGTGGGATGGTGGCATGGTGGCATGGTGGCATGGTGACATGGTGGGATGGTGGCATGGTGGGATGGTGGGATGGTGGGATCGCTGTTGAATATCTTCCAGAAAGGTCTCAGGAAATGATAAAAAAGAGTCTAGACTATTATAACAAAGTCACGTGGACAGTGGGTGAGACGGCTGAAGGGACCTAAGAAAGATTTAGTTGAAGCTTTTATACGATTTGGTAGCGAGTTTGAATGTCACAGAATATGGTCTGAGCTTACCGTCTCCTACTAAAACCACTCGACCAATCTCGTCAACTTGTAACTTAGTATAATAGTTTGTAATTCTTTGTTCTAATAAACACAAAAGTTCTGCTCCAGCAAATTTGTTCATAACATGGTGGCATGGTGGCATGGTGGGATGGTGGCATGGTGGCATGGTGGGATGGTGGGATAGTGGCATGGTGGCATGGTGGGATGGTGGCATGGTGGCATGGTGGCATGGTGGGATGGTGGGATGGTGGCATGGTGGGATGGTGGCATGGTGGCATGGTGGCATGGTGGCATGGTGGCATGGTGGGATGGTGGCATGGTGGCATGGTGGCATGGTGGCATGGTGGGATGGTGGGATGGTGGCATGGTGGTATGGTGGCATGGTGGGATGGTGGCGTGGTGGGATGGTGGCATGGTGGCATGGTGGCATGGTGGCATGGTGGCATGGTGGCATGGTATGGCGCGGCTCACCTTCTGCTGTTTCTCTGTGCAATGCTCTGGACCCCTCTGCGCCCCCACCACCACCTGCTGCCACGCCCCCCCCAGCAGCCTGCTCTCATGCAGGGTGGGGTGGGGGGGGGGGTGTGTGGGAGGGGAGGGGCAGAAGACGGGGTGCAATGCAGGGAGGAGAAAGGGCAGATGGGAGGGAAGGAACGGAGAGAAGAAAGCAATTAAGGCATGGGGAAGTGGAGAAATGATTTGAGCAGCACAGTGCAGATGGCCCTGCGGATGGATGCTCAGAGCTGGCATGGAGGCGTGTGTGTCACACACATAATGGGTCACACACGCGATGGGTCACACACGCGATGGGTCACACACGTGATGGGTCACACACGCGATGGGTCATATCGCATCGCATCGCACACCATTGGTCACATCACATCGCATCACATCGCATCGCCTCGCGTCGCGTCGCGTCACATCACACCACATCACACCACACCACACCACCACACCACACCACACCACACCACACCACACCACACCACACCACACCACACCACACCACACCACACCACACCACACCACACCACAACACAACACACCACACCACACCACACCACATCACACCACACCACACCACACCACACCACACCACATCACATCACATCACATCACATCACATCACATCACATCACATCACATCACATCACATCACATCACATCACACATCACACATCACACCACACCACATCACATCACATCACATCACATCACATCACATCACATCACATCACATCACATCACATCACATCACATCACATCACATCACATCACATCACATCACATCACATCACATCACATCACATCACATCACATCGCATCACACCACACCACACCACACCACACCACACAACGCACTCGGCAGCAGCTTCAGCGGGGTGTCGTCCACCCGGCCCCGCGCTCACCCCGCCATCACCGCACTCCACCGCTGCATTCGCCCGCTCGTGGATCGTGGCGCACACCACACGCGTCTCTGACGCCACCGCACTGCCCACCTCCACCAGCGGCCTGCACCCCCCCGCCACGCCCTCCCCGCCCTCCCCCCCCTCTCCGCCCTCTCCGCCCCCTGACTTTTCGGCCTCCCCTTTGTCTGTGAGCGTCGCCTGGGCAGCGGCCTGGCAGGCGGGCGAGGCAATGCGGTGGAAGTAGCAGAACCACGAGCCCCATGAGAAGTGCGCTGGCAAGAGAGGGGTGGGGGGGACAGGCAGGGGGGAGGAGAGAAGGCAGCATTGCAGGGGAGAGAGGGCAAGTTTGCAGGGGGATGGAATGCGCGTGTGGTACAGACACGCACAGAGGCACCTTTCATGCAACCATGTGTCACATTCCATGAACGCACGCACCTCTCATCTCGCCATCCCTCATGCGTGTCATCCCTCGTGTCATCCCTCGTGTCATCCCTCGTGCAATCCCTCGTGCCATCCCTCGTGCCATCCCTCGTGCCTGCCACTAATGAGCGACACACCTCGGCAGGCGGGGTGGTGGGCGACTCACCTCGGCAGGCGGGGTGGTGGGCGACTCACCTCGGCAGGCGGGGTGGTGGGCGACTCACCTCGGCAGGCGGGGTGGTGTGCGGGGCCAAACGAGCCCCCCACGGCCACCAGCACGCGCCCACTGCTCACCGCCACCGCCAGCGCCTCCCCCATCGCCTCCACCGCCCCCGCCACCCACTCCCCCACCCCCTCCCCCTCCCCCTCCCCCTCCCCTTCCGCCCCCTCCCCTATACCCCACCAGGTGCGGTTGAGCGCGGGGGGCAGCGGGGGCCAGTGCACGAGCAGCAGGCGGCGGCCGCGGCACTGGTCCGACGGGAACTGGTGCTCCCACAGGTCCCTCTGCGCCGCCCGCGTGCCGCCCAGATTGCCCGCCTCCGACCCGCGCACCTGGGGGTGGAAGGAGGTAAGGAGACGGGCCGGAGAAAGGTGTGAGCAGGGAGGGGTGTGAGGTGGAGCGTATGTGTGGGTGTGACCGTGAGAGGAGATCAATGTCATGGGGTTGGAGAGGAGGGCCGGGAGGACACAGAGTGGCAGGAGTGCAGAGAAAGGCAGATGAACGTGGTATGGCAAGAATGGCAGCAGGAGATAGTGCTGATGCATGCATGCGTGCAGTGGCGCACACATGCAGTGGCGCACACATGCAGTGGCGCACACATGCAGTGGCGCACACATGCAGTGGCGCACACCGATTGGCACGAGTGCAGGGAAAGACAGATGGAACGTGGCGTGAGAGAGAAAGTCAGCAGTAGATGGGGCAGGTGCATGCGTGTGTGCAGGGGTGCGCATGCCTCACCCAGGGTGGCTGCGGGATGCCCTCACACTGCTGCTGCGCCATCTCGCCCACCCATCGTGGCGCCTCCCCAAGGTGCATGCATGAGTGCAGTGGTGCATGCATGCAGCGGCGTGCACATCTCACCCAGGGCGGTTGCGGGATGCCCTCACACTGCTGCGCCATCGCGTCCGCCCATCGTGGCGCCTGCCCCTTGCGCCCGCGCTGCTCACTGGCGCGGCGGAAGGCAGAGCGCGCAGCACAGTCGTGCAGGTGGGGCGCGGGGGGCAGGTGGGAGGGCAGATGGATCGAGGGGGGGGGATGGGGGGAGTCCCCGGCCAGCCCATAGGCGGCCGCCCACGCCTGTGACGGATGGGGGGAAATGGGGGGGGTAGGGCGGGGTGGGATGCGGTTGGGCAGACGGCAGTTGATGAGCGGCACTGCACCCATGATTGCATGCAAATAGCCATGATTGCATGCACATACCCATGACTGCATGCACATACCCATGATTGCATGCACATACCCATGATTGCATGCACATACCCATGATTGCATGCACATACCCATGATTGCATTCACATACCCATGATTGCATGCACATACCCATGATTGCATTCACATACCCATGATTGCATGCACATACCCATGATTGCATTCACATACCCATGATTGCATGCACATACCCATGATTGCATTCACATACCCATGATTGCATGCACATACCCATGATTGCGTGCACATACGAATGATTGCATGCACATACCCATGATTGCATGCACATACGCATGATTGCATGCACATACCCATGATTGCATGCACATACTCATGATTGCATGCACATACTCATGATTGCATGCACATACCATAAATGAATGCACCAATGAGCGCATGCACAACTCATACAATCTCACACCACGCACCTCATACAATCTCACACCACGCACCTCATATATTCTCAAGGTAACCTCGCTAGGCCTGCTGGTCCGCGCCGGTTCCCCTCCCGTCCACCCCTCCTTGCCTCCGTTCAACAACTCCCCGCCCCCCTGCGACCCCGTGTTGCCCTCATCATGCGACCCCGTGTTGCCCTCATCATGCGACCCCTTGTTGCCCTCATCATGCGACCCCTTCTTGCCCTCATCATGCGACCCCTTCTTGCCCTCATCATGCGACCCCTTGTTGCCCTCATCATGCGACCCCTTGTTGCCCTCATCATGCGACCCCTTCTTGCCCTCATCATGCGACCCCTTCTTGCCCTCATCATGCGACCCCTTCTTGCCCTCATCATGCGACCCCTTCTTGCCCTCATCATGCGACCCCTTCTTGCCCTCATCATGCGACCCCTTCTTGCCCTCATCATGCGACCCCTTGTTGCCCTCATCATGCGACCCCTTGTTGCCCTCATCATGCGACCCCTTGTTGCCCTCATCATGCGACCCCTTGTTGCCCTCATCATGCGACCCCTTGTTGCCCTCATCATGCGACCCCTTGTTGCCCTCATCATGCGACCCCTTGTTGCCCTCATCATGCGACCCCTTGTTGCCCTCATCATGCGACCCCTTGTTGCCCTCATCATGCGACCCCTTGTTGCCCTCATCATGCGACCCTTGTTGCCCTCATCATGCGACCCCTTGTTGCCCTCATCATGCGACCCCTTGTTGCCCTCATCATGCGACCCCTTGTTGCCCTCATCATGCGACCCCTTGTTGCCCTCATCATGCGACCCCTTGTTGCCCTCATCATGCGACCCCTTGTTGCCCTCATCATGCGACCCCTTGTTGCCCTCATCATGCGACCCCTTGTTGCCCTCATCATGCGACCCCTTGTTGCCCTCATCATGCGACCCCTTGTTGCCCTCATCATGCGACCCCTTGTTGCCCTCATCATGCGACCCCTTGTTGCCCTCATCATGCGACCCCTTGTTGCCCTCATCATGCGACCCCTTGTTGCCCTCATCATGCGACCCCTTGTTGCCCTCATCATGCGACCCCTTGTTGCCCTCATCATGCGACCCCTTGTTGCCCTCATCATGCGACCCCTTGTTGCCCTCATCATGCGACCCCTTGTTGCCCTCATCATGCGACCCCTTGTTGCCCTCATCATGCGACCCCTGTTGCCCTCATCATGCGACCCCTTGTTGCCCTCATCATGCGACCCCTTGTTGCCCTCATCATGCGACCCCTTGTTGCCCTCATCATGCGACCCCTTGTTGCCCTCATCATGCGACCCTTGTTGCCCTCATCATGCGACCCCTTGTTGCCCTCATCATGCGACCCCTTGTTGCCCTCATCATGCGACCCCTTGTTGCCCTCATCATGCGACCCCTTGTTGCCCTCATCATGCGACCCCTTGTTGCCCTCATCATGCGACCCCTTGTTGCCCTCATCATGCGACCCCTTGTTGCCCTCATCATGCGACCCCTTGTTGCCCTCATCATGCGACCCCTTGTTGCCCTCATCATGCGACCCCTTGTTGCCCTCATCATGCGACCCCTTGTTGCCCTCATCATGCGACCCCTTGTTGCCCTCATCATGCGACCCCTTGTTGCCCTCATCATGCGACCCCTTGTTGCCCTCATCATGCGACCCCTTGTTGCCCTCATCATGCGACCCCTTGTTGCCCTCATCATGCGACCCCTTGTTGCCCTCATCATGCGACCCCTTGTTGCCCTCATCATGCGACCCCTTGTTGCCCTCATCATGCGACCCCTTGTTGCCCTCATCATGCGACCCCTTGTTGCCCTCATCATGCGACCCCTTGTTGCCCTCATCATGCGACCCCTTGTTGCCCTCATCATGCGACCCCTTGTTGCCCTCATCATGCGACCCCTTGTTGCCCTCATCATGCGACCCCTTGTTGCCCTCATCATGCGACCCCTTGTTGCCCTCATCATGCGACCCCTTGTTGCCCTCATCATGCGACCCCTTGTTGCCCTCATCATGCGACCCCTTGTTGCCCTCATCATGCGACCCCTTGTTGCCCTCATCATGCGACCCCTTGTTGCCCTCATCATGCGACCCCTTGTTGCCCTCATCATGCGACCCCTTGTTGCCCTCATCATGCGACCCCTTGTTGCCCTCATCATGCGACCCCTTGTTGCCCTCATCATGCGACCCCTTGTTGCCCTCATCATGCGACCCCTTGTTGCCCTCATCATGCGACCCCTTGTTGCCCTCATCATGCGACCCCTTGTTGCCCTCATCATGCGACCCCTTGTTGCCCTCATCATGCGACCCCTTGTTGCCCTCATCATGCGACCCCTTGTTGCCCTCATCATGCGACCCCTTGTTGCCCTCATCATGCGACCCCTTGTTGCCCTCATCATGCGACCCCTTGTTGCCCTCATCATGCGACCCCTTGTTGCCCTCATCATGCGACCCCTTGTTGCCCTCATCATGCGACCCCTTGTTGCCCTCATCATGCGACCCCTTGTTGCCCTCATCATGCGACCCCTTGTTGCCCTCATCATGCGACCCCTTGTTGCCCTCATCATGCGACCCCTTGTTGCCCTCATCATGCGACCCCTTGTTGCCCTCATCATGCGACCCCTTGTTGCCCTCATCATGCGACCCCTTGTTGCCCTCATCATGCGACCCCTTGTTGCCCTCATCATGCGACCCCTTGTTGCCCTCATCATGCGACCCCTTGTTGCCCTCATCATGCGACCCCTTGTTGCCCTCATCATGCGACCCCTTGTTGCCCTCATCATGCGACCCCTTGTTGCCCTCATCATGCGACCCCTTGTTGCCCTCATCATGCGACCCCTTGTTGCCCTCATCATGCGACCCCTTGTTGCCCTCATCATGCGACCCCTTGTTGCCCTCATCATGCGACCCCTTGTTGCCCTCATCATGCGACCCCTTGTTGCCCTCATCATGCGACCCCTTGTTGCCCTCATCATGCGACCCCTTGTTGCCCTCATCATGCGACCCCTTGTTGCCCTCATCATGCGACCCCTTGTTGCCCTCATCATGCGACCCCTTGTTGCCCTCATCATGCGACCCCTTGTTGCCCTCATCATGCGACCCCTTGTTGCCCTCATCATGCGACCCCTTGTTGCCCTCATCATGCGACCCCTTGTTGCCCTCATCATGCGACCCCTTGTTGCCCTCATCATGCGACCCCTTGTTGCCCTCATCATGCGACCCCTTGTTGCCCTCATCATGCGACCCCTTGTTGCCCTCATCATGCGACCCCTTGTTGCCCTCATCATGCGACCCCTTGTTGCCCTCATCATGCGACCCCTTGTTGCCCTCATCATGCGACCCCTTGTTGCCCTCATCATGCGACCCCTTGTTGCCCTCATCATGCGACCCCTTGTTGCCCTCATCATGCGACCCCTTGTTGCCCTCATCATGCGACCCCTTGTTGCCCTCATCATGCGACCCCTTGTTGCCCTCATCATGCGACCCCTTGTTGCCCTCATCATGCGACCCCTTGTTGCCCTCATCATGCGACCCCTTGTTGCCCTCATCATGCGACCCCTTGTTGCCCTCATCATGCGACCCCTTGTTGCCCTCATCATGCGACCCCTTGTTGCCCTCATCATGCGACCCCTTGTTGCCCTCATCATGCGACCCCTTGTTGCCCTCATCATGCGACCCCTTGTTGCCCTCATCATGCGACCCCTTGTTGCCCTCATCATGCGACCCCTTGTTGCCCTCATCATGCGACCCCTTGTTGCCCTCATCATGCGACCCCTTGTTGCCCTCATCATGCGACCCCTTGTTGCCCTCATCATGCGACCCCTTGTTGCCCTCATCATGCGACCCCTTGTTGCCCTCATCATGCGACCCCTTGTTGCCCTCATCATGCGACCCCTTGTTGCCCTCATCATGCGACCCCTTGTTGCCCTCATCATGCGACCCCTTGTTGCCCTCATCATGCGACCCCTTGTTGCCCTCATCATGCGACCCCTTGTTGCCCTCATCATGCGACCCCTTGTTGCCCTCATCATGCGACCCCTTGTTGCCCTCATCATGCGACCCCTTGTTGCCCTCATCATGCGACCCCTTGTTGCCCTCATCATGCGACCCCTTGTTGCCCTCATCATGCGACCCCTTGTTGCCCTCATCATGCGACCCCTTGTTGCCCTCATCATGCGACCCCTTGTTGCCCTCATCATGCGACCCCTTGTTGCCCTCATCATGCGACCCCTTGTTGCCCTCATCATGCGACCCCTTGTTGCCCTCATCATGCGACCCCTTGTTGCCCTCATCATGCGACCCCTTGTTGCCCTCATCATGCGACCCCTTGTTGCCCTCATCATGCGACCCCTTGTTGCCCTCATCATGCGACCCCTTGTTGCCCTCATCATGCGACCCCTTGTTGCCCTCATCATGCGACCCCTTGTTGCCCTCATCATGCGACCCCTTGTTGCCCTCATCATGCGACCCCTTGTTGCCCTCATCATGCGACCCCTTGTTGCCCTCATCATGCGACCCCTTGTTGCCCTCATCATGCGACCCCTTGTTGCCCTCATCATGCGACCCCTTGTTGCCCTCATCATGCGACCCCTTGTTGCCCTCATCATGCGACCCCTTGTTGCCCTCATCATGCGACCCCTTGTTGCCCTCATCATGCGACCCCTTGTTGCCCTCATCATGCGACCCCTTGTTGCCCTCATCATGCGACCCCTTGTTGCCCTCATCATGCGACCCCTTGTTGCCCTCATCATGCGACCCCTTGTTGCCCTCATCATGCGACCCCTTGTTGCCCTCATCATGCGACCCCTTGTTGCCCTCATCATGCGACCCCTTGTTGCCCTCATCATGCGACCCCTTGTTCGCCCTCATCATGCGACCCCTTGTTGCCCTCATCATGCGACCCCTTGTTGCCCTCATCATGCGACCCCTTGTTGCCCTCATCATGCGACCCCTTGTTGCCCTCATCATGCGACCCCTTGTTGCCCTCATCATGCGACCCCTTGTTGCCCTCATCATGCGACCCCTTGTTGCCCTCATCATGCGACCCCTTGTTGCCCTCATCATGCGACCCCTTGTTGCCCTCATCATGCGACCCCTTGTTGCCCTCATCATGCGACCCCTTGTTGCCCCCATCATGCGACCCCTTGTTGCCCTCATCATGCGACCCCTCCTTGTCTCTCTGCGATTCCTCCTCGCCTGACATCCCCTCGTTTCCACGCACATCCCTTCGCCTCCATGCGACATCACGTCTATGTGCGACTTTGCTTCCAACCATTCCCCCTCCACCCTTCCCCACTCCTTCCCACCCGCCCGCGCTTCCTTCTCCTCCCTGCCCCTCGCCCCCGCTCCCGCTCTTTGCGCTCGCCTCTGCACCCTCCGCGCGTGAATCCGCCGCACCCGGCGCGCGCACCACCTCCCTCCCGCGCGCCGCCGGATACCGCGCAAAGCCTGCTCCTCCGTCTTGCCATGATAGGCTCCCGTTCTCCGCGGCCACCGGCGCTATGTGCGGCGTAGTAAGGTCCGCAGCGCCGCTGTGGTTGACGCCGCTCGCCGCGTCCGCCTCGATGCCTTCCAGGCGAGCAGGCACGGCACGCGGAGCGCCGTCCGTCGTCGCGTCGCCCCACAGTGCGACCACCGGCTTCGAGAAGTTGTGCGGGACCAGTAGGCTCCACGACAGCACGCTGGTTATACTAATGAGGAACACGGCGAGAAGGCTGACTTGCGACACGTACGAGAGGTAGTAGCGCGGAAGGGTAAACGCGCGTATAGAGGGCAGGAAGCTTTGGCATCGGTTCAAACTGTTCAACGCCGAGGAGACCACGGCGACAGCACGTCGGGAAACGTTCGCGTAGAGCTTGGCGCGCGCGTTGTGTTTGGCGCATTTAAGGACGAAAGAAACAATCCTGTCGGTCCCACGGCAGTCATTGACGCCTTCTGTCACGAACGATGAGACGCACTGTGCTCGCACCGCCACCGCCACATCATCACGAACGTGTTTCTCCAGCCAGTAATACCGTGATGAAAGCGTCACACGCGCGTGATGCGTATACCGCCCGATCCGAGTGCGTTCAAGTTCGGGAGCCAGTTACTGCTCTCAAGCGTGTTCTCCTGCCATTATCTCCAACGCAATATCGGGTGAAACAATGAGCTCCAGATTTGGCGGGAAACTGGGCTCGATACCAAATCGCCTGGCGACCCCAGCGACATGCCGGCCCTGTTCTGCAGGCACAGCGTCGGGCTTGGCGGGGGATCTGCATGTAAGGGCGACGTCAGGTTGTACAACTTTTTGTACGCTCTCGGCGGTCAACTTCGTTTCGTCACGGTGCAAAACGTTAAACCTTGAAAACCGCTTTGCACCGTGTGAAACCGTCCTGAGTTCGGATACAAGAACTGTAAATGTGTGAGATCCTGACGTCGCCCTAAGGGATTTCCTAGCCGGCAGGTCCGCGCCTCCCACAAATCGTAAAAACAGATGGGTTGGAGGGGTAGGTTTGATTCCTCTTACGAGTGCAATTGAGCGAGTGAGCAAGAATTGCACTATCGAAGCAAAACAATACAGTTGAGCGAAAAGCATGAGCGAAGTTATATAGCGAAGCTAGTGTGGTAACGGTAATGCGGGAAATTGGGGTGCGCTACGGGCCTAGCGCCGAGGTTGGGAATTGTCGAGGCGTAGGTCCGGAGCGCGGGTTACCAACCGAACCGTGAGGTTGGGTCGCATCGTGAACAGTGGCGGGAGTCGTGGTCGAGGCGAATGTCGCGAGCGGGTAACGGGCATGTACGCGGTAAGCAGGGACGCGAAGTAAGGAAAAGGAGTTTTCCTTACACTACCCCCCTCCCCAAGGAGGCCCCTCTTACGAGAGCGCGTGTACATCTCGAAAGTTTTGGCTACGTAGATACTCAGTCAGGACAGGGTGATTCTCAATTCTATCCAGGGGAACCCAGTCGTCTTCGGTGGGCGTGCGGTCTTTCCAGCGGATTAGGAATTCGATCCTGCGGGCTCCCCGTGGGTCACGTTCTCGGTGGCTCAGTATTTTTTCGGGCGTGATGATTGGCTTTGTCGGTGGTCGTGTCATGCTGGCGGGGCGGTTTCGAGGCAGTTGGCTGGTGGATGGCACGTATGGGCGAAGCAGGCTGACGTGGAATGACGGGCTGACGTACCAGTCAGCAGGGAGGAGGAGATGGGCGGTGACGGGTGTGATCATGTAGCTGATGCGAAATGGCCCGCAATATCGGGGGCGGAGTTTTGGGGTGATGGGCAGGCGGAGGTTTTGAGTGTCGAGTAATACCAGGTCGTCGGGTTGGTAAGTGACGGGGCGGCGGTGTCGGTCGGCGTTGCGCTTAGCGATGACGTTTGATTTTTTTATTGCTTCTGCTGCTCGGGTCCGTGCTGCTTGCAGTATTTCTGCGAACTGTTGCGCGCGTGGGATTGGGTTGTCGGGGTTCGGGGTCATTGGTACTGTGGGGTCTTGTGCGTAGTTCAGGTAAAACGGTGACTGTTGGGTCGTGGCAGATGGCGAGTTGTTGTACGCGAACTCGATGAGTGGCAGTTGCTGTTCCCACGTGGTCGGGTCGTCGCACGTGGCTCGGATGAGCTGTTCCATGGGTCTGATTTGTCCGTTCTGTCTGTCCGTCGGTTTCGGGGTGGTATGATGAACTGAACCGTAGTCGCGTGCCGAACTGCTGCCACATGTTTCGCCAGAAATTGCTGGTGAATTTCGTGTCGCGGTCGCTGATAATTGATGCTGGTATCCCGTGCAGTCGAACGACGGTGGAGATGAAGAGGCGGGTTGTTTCTTCGGCTGTGGTTGATTTCTTGCAGGCTGCGAAGTGTGCCATTTTCGTCAGCCGATCGACGACGACCAGGATCGCGTCGTTCCCACTTGCTCCAGCCGGTAACCCCGTGACGAAGTCCATCGTCACCTGCTGCCAAGCACGCTCTGGGGGTGGTATCGGCTGCAACTGTCCTGCCGATCGTTGTCGTGACGACTTCATGAGCTGGCAGGTGGGACACGATGCCACGTGTCGTTGCATGTCGGTCAGCATCTGTAGTAATACCGCTGCAGCTGCTGCCGTGTTTTCTCTACCCCGAAATGTCCTGAGGTAACCCCGTCGTATGCCTCCTGTAGTAACAGTTCCCTAAGTAAAGTGTAGCCCGGTATCCAAATGCGGTCGGTGCCGACTTTTACGTAATACACCCCTTTTGCTGCTGCGAACTTCTGCGAGTTGCCTCCGGTAAAGAAGGGGTATGTCTGATACCCGTGGGTAAATAGGTCTGTTAGTAGCGGGCTGGTCTGTGCGAGTAGTATGGCGTGGATCTGGGCAGTTGGGCGGGTCAGTGCGTCGGCAATGTTCGAGGCTCCCTTTTTATAGGTGACCGTGTAGTGGAAGTTTGACTCGAGGAAATCGAGCCAGCGGATCTGTCGTGGGTTGAGGTGGGGCTGTGCGCGGAGGTACTGTAGTGATCTGTGGTCTGTCCGTACTGTCACGTCTGCGCCGGTCAATTAACAGCGCCAGACCTTGAATGCATGCACGATCGCGAGCATTTCGCGGTCGTGTATCGGGTAATTCTTCTCGGGCGGATGCAGTTTTCGTGACTCGTATGAGATGGGCTGTAAACCGTTGCCGAAATCCTGTAGCAGTACGGCTCCAATGGCGATGTCGCTTGCGTCTGTAACTACTTCGAATGGGCGATGTGGGTCGGCGATGCGCAGTACGGGCGGTGAACAGAGAGCATTTTTCAGGGCAGAGAAGGCAGCATGCTCTTTCTCCCCCCCACGTAAAAGCGACCCCCTTCCGCAGTAAATCCGTCAGCGGGGCGGTTAACCGAGCCATGTTGGGGACGAACCGACGCACATAATTAACGAACCCTAAAAAACTCTGCAGCTCCGTGATGTTCGTCGGGGGGTGCCATGCTTTTACGGTGTCCAACTTCTTTGGGTCGATCTCAACTCCAGCCTCCGAAATAACATGCCCCAAAAATTCTAACCTATCCTGGAAGAACTCGCACTTGGAACCCTTGGTCAGTAGCCTGTGCTCGTCCAAAACTTTAAACACTGCTTCCAGATCTGCTAAGTGCTGCTGCTGTCAGAATATGTTGTTTGTGTAGCCTGCAGTGGGGTACTCAATAGTGAGTACAGCCCCTTAGGGTTTGCTACTTGTATCTGTTGGTGCAACCCTACGGTTTGCACTCGGCTTGTTGTCCGTGTGCGTGAACGTGTGTGTGTATGGAATGGTATGAGGGCATGGGATAATATATATTTCATGCTTATAATTGTGTGTGAATGTTGAGTCATGATGTCGAGTGTGTGTGTCGAGTCAATAGCGAGTTATCGCTAGACGCGTGTTACGCGGTCGTTTGTGTCTCGCGCGCGGTTTCTATTTTGTCGTGCGCGGTTTCTATTTTGTCCTGTGTCGAACGTTCGGCGTGTCGCAGGTGTGTGCAGCAGACCCATCAAGAACTCAAGGATGAGTTTGTGATGAAGAGCCCGAGCCTTGGTGTCAAGCCTCAAGTGATTTCGAAGCTTGCCAAAAGGGTACACCTCAAGATATTGAAGATAGTTACATTACTTTGTGTAGTGTAACATTTCACTTGGTGTAGGCCCTAGTGAAGGGTAGTTTCGAGACCCTTCGTGGTTGGGGACAGTGTGGCACTGTTACACATCACTCTACCTCGGCTCTTGGGGTTTGTAGGAGCTGGGAGTCATTCCCAACTCGTAACTCTTCCTATCTTGTGTTCTAAGACTATAGTGGCTGCCATAGTACCGTTCGCTCAAACCGACGCTGTGTCGTCA